GGTTCAGAGCAGCTAGTAGAAAAAGCTCTTCTGTGATAGTGTGGGATTTTTGGCACTTCATCACTCTTTGAGCTACCTTAAAAGATGCTAGCTATGCATTACACAGAACTGACACACACTGTTTACACACTGTTTTGCTTTTGTAAATCTTGCAACTTCCTATTAAAAAAATCATGAAATATGTCGATTAAGTTAGAGTAAATAGTCTCAAGAAATCATTTTAAGCTTACTTGGAAGCATACTTTTGAGTACAAAAATTTTTTAAACAAACAACATATCTGTCATCATTGTTTACTTCTACTGAAGTAAAACCAAAATCAATGAAACTTTCCTTTTAGTTAAGATACATTGCCTTCTTTTCTTCTCTGCCAGTTGTCGATGCCTTGTCATTCAAACTTGAACTATCGTAACCACCAGTTTGCTTATTTAATAAAAATCTTTTCATTTTGTGCAATATCAGTAAGGACTTGTGGATTTATTGCAATATTTCATCAAGATCATGACTTTTTTCATAGACATAAAAGATTGTAAGACTCTCTCCATCCATTCCAGAGTTTTATACTCATGGTCCTGAATGGAAAAAAGAAAAGGAAACAGATGCCAATGCTGAGAGACCAAATATAGCAATCTTGTGAAATGAAGTAGCAGACGCAAAAAATGTATGAGAATAATTTAATACAAATCTGAAGCACCAACACAGAATTATTCCAAATTGAAAGAACTAAGGCATAAAACAATCTGAAATCTAGTTAATATTAATCTGAATATTTTGATTTAATTTCTTTGAAACATGTAGTTCAGGCATCTTGTTTTTAATGATTGTCAATATCTATTTTTATTGTTAATTTCAGTCCAGATCAGATGTGATTTTTAGTACCTCAACAAACTTAAGTATGTAAAGTTATCCTTGAAAACACGGCCGAATAGGTAAGATACAGAACACTGACAGTTTGACTTGAGTTTTACTCATGGCAAATAGCTGGCCGTGGGTCATTTTTGTTGTTGTTCCCTACATGTAACATATATGAACCAGATATCCTTAAAAAATTCTACACCAAGACATACCTCAGTCAGAGGATTGAGGTACAACATCTAAGTTGATAGATATGAACACAGCAGATTTTGAAAAAAATTATTTAACAAATTATTCTGGAATTAAAAAAAATAAAGAATACATTACATTTATTGTAAAGTTATTATTATTATTATTTTAAGTCTGCCAGAAGAATATCTGAGCTTACCAAAAATTATGCTGCAATGCTGCAACATAAAAATTTAAAGAATACGTTAAATTTATTTTGGATAAGTCTGCCAGAAGAATATCTGAGCTTACCAAAAATCATGCTGCAACATAATTCGAATATAGAAATCGATTTGATGCTGCACATTATATAATAATTCTGGTTTCTATATTGTTTGACATTAAAAAGAATGTGTCATTCAAAGACTCAGACAAGTCGTTGAAAATTTAAAATACTTTAATCTTTTAATATTATTTCCTTCTTCAATTTAGTTTATCTCCATTTTTTTTAAAATTAATAATGTTGTGATAAACTTTTTTTATAGGTATACTATAAAAATCAGAATAAAAGTTTTTTTTGTTTACCAAATATATCTGCATATTCGTTTATTACAACCAGGGCCAGCAACAGAATTTAGAGGCGGCACTTTTAAAATTGAGGAAGAAACTGAGGGGATGAATTCAGAAATTGCAGAGTTTGCAGCTTTTGGCATCAGCCTAGCATCAGCTCTGATTATAACTAAAAACTCGAATTTACTCTAAGTTCCTAACAAACTTAAAAACCTAAAACATATTCTGCAATGAGAAAAGTTTGGGAAATGCTGGTATAAAGGATGTAGATGCAAGTAAACATTTTGGAACCCCCAAATAACTTTTCAATGGTAGGAAAGCATGACAGGTTTTCATGGAAAGGGCTTAAGGTTTTAATAACAAAAACAAGAGAAATTAAAAAAATAATAATAAACTTTAATATATTCTTACATGATGATGTTGTACTATTAGTAATATGACAAAAATTTTTATTTTTTGATACTTCATTTTCTAACTCACAAAGTAGCTTATATTATTACAAATAATATGAATTTGCTGTAGGCAAGATAAGGGAAAAATCTTATAGTATCATTCCTTAATATATATATATATATATATATTTATTTATATTTAAAAAAAATTATATTTTGTTTCACGAGTTGAAATACTGCTGAGAAAAGTCTCTCTAATCAATAAACCAAGCTTTTAAATTGCATTTAAGATCCAAAGATGAAAAATTATAAACCTCTTTTGTGTTTCATCTTCAGTTTTTTTTTTCATTTTGGTGAAAATAAGGTTTAACTTGTTGAAATATCAGAGTTCCGAGAAGTACAACCTAAAAAACTGTGCCAGTTGATGAAAACTCTGAAACTTTTATGCCAGTCCACTGTTCTTTATAAAGTTGCAGACAACTTTATAAAAATGTAGTGCTTTTTATAAGAATGCAAGCATCCTTATGCAAAGACGACATAAAGGTCCCAACGATTTATTTCATTACTTGCTTAATTAATTAATCAGTAACTGAAACAAAATTCATACTTGCAAAAGGATATGCACACCTTCATGAGAAAAGCAAGATTAGCATAACAGTGCCGATAGTCAGTTTCAAGTGAGACACTAATCTTCAGTTTGCACATGCTCCTTATGTCACAATACCGTTATGATGATTTCAAACAGTGGCCAACTTGCATAAGGCTGAGGCAATGTTATTTGAACTGGTCCCATTAAATTATTCTTATATTTATTGCATAATTTCAGTATATTTTGGCTTTGCTCTTCATCAAAAGCCTTTTAAGATTAACAACAACTAAAAATCAGTTTAGAAAAGGCTTCAAATACTGCAGATAATTTGTAGTTTTTTAGAAAGACTCTTTAAAGATAATATCTCCCCATTCTTTAAAACTTTTCTTTTTCAATAAGTCTTAGCATATGTTAACAAACTTACAGCTCAATGAATACTCTGATATTATCTTGAGCCTACCCATTCTTTAAAACTTTTCTTTTTCAATAACTATTAGCATATGTTAACAAACTTACAGCTCAATGAATACTCTGATATTATTTTGTGCCTCCCCATTCTTTAAAATTTTTCTTTTTCAATAACTCTTAGCATATGTTAACAAACTTAAGCTCTATGAACACTCTGATATAACTTTGTGCATCACTTATCAGTAGGTTAGTTGTTTCATCCAAAGGAATGGGGTGTGGATTCAAAATTAGCAAAACTGCTGTAGGATGCATGACAAAATTTAATGAAACTTTTACAACCAAGTTTTCTATTTAAATTTTCAAAAAGTCCATCAGATATAAAATATTATGTTATACTTATTTTAATCTTTTCTTTCACTTAATAAAACCAGTCAAATTTGCTATTCTTACTAGCATGGATGCAACAGATAGAGGTGGTATATTGATATGGTATAAGCTATACATGCATACATTTTCCCTGGAGTCGTTCTAAGGGGGAATCCATTTTACACACAGAAAAAACCATAAAAACTCCCATGCATATTACTCATTCTGGGAGATCTGACAGGGGTCAACCAACCTGTTAATAATGATTTTACCACTAGGCTGCTGATAGATCTTAAAAAATTGTTCTAATTCATGTAAAAATTTAAATTTAATGTATAGTTTGCAACATTACTACTTACAGGCATTATGGTGCATAAGTTTATTACATTACATACCAATGGATAATCAATCAGCTAAATCCTTATTATAGGTATTATAAGCATGTGGTTTGGGAACACTTCCTATTTTGAAAAGACGAATTTTAAGTTTCTTATTCAACTGAAAAAAGTAAGATCTCATACCAGTTGCTAATAAGGAGCTTAAATGCAAAAATCAAAACTTAAGTTTATAATGTATTCATGTCATATAATTTATACACACATATTTTATTCTAATATTTTACTTACATTTCCTTCATTTCTTATTAATTTAATGAACACATTTTATTAAAGGAAATATCGTTTTTCATTTTTTGTTTTTTTAATTCTCCTGGCACCAAACATAGCATATTTCTCTATTTTTTAAAATTTTATTGTGAGAATGATGAAAATATCCATTTCATGCCTTGTTTAAATTATACTTTAAAACAGCTTATCCTTCTTTGACATAAGCTTTACAATGAAATTTCCAAGTATAATATATTTCAAATGAATGAAATATATTTTAAAATAATAGACTTAATTTCAGTAACCTAAAAATTCAGTTAATAATTCTTAAAGTAGTAATTACACACAGAGCACATAAATCCAATACAGTTTAATTATCAGTTAATTAAAGCTGAACACAAATTATTTAGGATACAGTGAATTTTTATTCATTTACATTATCAAATATATTAATTTAAATATTCTCATGCAATTAACATATGCAAGCAGACGTTTTATTATAAAAACATGCACATAAGATGCTTAAGAAATATCATTATTGAAGAGAAAAAGCATACTGTCTACATAATTTATGTTGTTAGTTATGAAAAATAATGCTTTAAATGTTACTATTACCAATACTTCTCATAAAAAGCACACAAAAATAAATAAATAAAACAAGAAACTTGGAAGTAAGTTGATTATGGTGATGAATTTTTTAAGGGAAACTGGCTTGTATGCATATTACACATTCATAAAACCATAGAAACCTCAGGAACCAGGTTGCTCTCAGAGAGCTGAATTTGGGATACTGGTCATTTAACCGCTAACTTTGCGTTCTTGACAATGCAGACATAATAAGATTACAAGTATTCTGATTTTTTTTTCAATCAAGATGTCAAAAGCGAATTTATGACTTCAATAATGCTGTCATAAAGGTTTAAATCTATGCATGTTTTTACAGAAAACACACTTTAGAACGCCAAAAGAAAAATTTACATTAAATCTTTAATCTAGCATTAATACATAAAAATGAAAAGCAAAAATGTGGGTAAACTAATTTACGTTACCTTAGGTGTTCGTATCAAATCCATGACACAAAATATCTTTTGTATTTATTAAAATTTTAGGAAGAAATAATTTTGAAGTGAAAACAGACACAAAGGAGAAGAAATAAAAATGAAATTAAATGTTTATGTAATTAGAAGAATAAATTTTACTCCGCATATTTACTGTGCTATGCGGAGAAAAACGCCAACTTGTAAACAAATCGTCTGTTTTCACGACTGCATACAATCAGCTTGGGCTGAGAGTTCCCTGTAGAGATACACCCTCATTTCTTATGCTTCATCAACTATTTATATAAATTATTACTTGTAAAAAAGATAATTCATTGTAAACGCAATTTGAATTTTTGTAGTAATATCATATGGATGTCTTTTTGAGAAATGCATTTCTATTTTATACCTAAATTATTATTATTTTTTTTAAACTGTGACGCCTAGCCACAAATAATTTTAAAAAGAAAAGTATTCATTTATGAACTGGAACTACTACTTTAATGTTCATGAGTGTTTACTTCAGATTCAAATACGTATGTAGTGTAAATAAAGTAAGGTGAGGTCGGTATTTCAGTAAAGTAAGCGTATTATTTTCTAATTTTGTGTAAAATCTGACACATTAAATAAAGTTATATTCTTTTAATCACTTCTTCTGACTTCACAATCTTACGAGATATATTATCAAAATTTAAAAGTGAATGAAATACATGCTTTATATTCTTCAAGTTTAAGCAATTGATAATATACCGTTTAAGTTTCTTTTTATTTAAAGAATTCTTTTAGCTCCGTTAAATATGAAAAATGTGATATTTTGTGCATTAAGATAACTGAAAATTAAAATCGAAATATTTTATGTCAAAGCATATGCTGTTAAATTAATTTTAGCGGTATTGCTTTATTTTCTCTCAGAATTCACCTGATTAATTTTATCTTAATTTTTGTTGGTGCTTGTATTAGCTTATATTTTTGTATTCAATATCGTTATAGGAAATGCTTGGTTATGATTTAATTAAACTATTCAGGTTCCCACTAGTCGCCGAATAGATTGCTTCCGAACAGCATAGCTACTATAGGCACTGTTTGGTTTCATAAATACTGATCATTACCCTTAGGATTCTGTGGAAACATTAACCCCATACGGATAGCTTTGTATTTGTTCTCATGCCCTATAGTTCACGTGTAGGAAAATAAAATGTCACATTGCTGTTGTATGTGTCAATTATCTCTGATGTGGAATTTCAGGAGAAAAGACCAACAGTTCTATTCAAAGTTTTAAAAAGACATGAAAATGAAATATGTTCATTTAAAATTGCATAAATTAAAATTTTAAAAATCTGTATGGTTATAAATGTAACCATACAGATTTTTAAAATAAATTTAAGTAATAATTTTACTGTGTATTCAAGCACATAAATATTGCAGTGAAAGTATTAATTCTTGCTCAAAATATATATATCATTCAGTATATTAATTACATCATTATAATACATATTTATATTGCTAATGCATGTTTTCAAATATTTGTTTATTTAGCAATACTGTACAATTGTCAGCCTCATTGAAAATCTCTAAAACACCTTTTAGTGATCTTTTCTTCTAAACAATGACAGAATTTTGCAATGATTCTTCTCTTAAAAATTTGTTCTTAGATAAAATTAAATTCGATTGTCATTAATTTCGATGTAGAAACACAGGAAAAATATAAATTTATTATTTGAACAAACCTTTAATAAAGTCACTCATATCCTTAGTTTGTTGCATTATTTACAATACATGCTTAAGCAAAATATATAGACAAATTTTATTTCTTTCATTTTAAGAATTTTTTTTTTTTTTTTTTTGTAAAATTTGTTACTTCCCATTATTAATTCTACTTCAGAGAAGTGCTAAAAATTAATTTTTCATCAAATAAAATTTTTCTGACAATCATTATGCATGTCTTTCTAAGTAATGCCAAGCTTTGATAGTTGTTTACAGGTAAGTAAGAAAACCTATGAATTAGCAGGTCACAAAGTGATTTCATGATAATTAGGAGCAAAGAGGAGGATAAATTACTATATATAATTCTACCTCATATGAACTTATAAATGGTTTATACATAAAAGAATGCTTTTTCAAAATTATAATAATTTAAATCATTTGCACTTTTAAAGGAGCTATATCAAGCAAGCTAATTACCATTTAGGCTGATCTTTGGAATATGGTAACTGGTAGTTTGGCGAGATTTTGGAGGCGATGAAGGTTACTACCTAGGACTTTGGTAATCATGTGAGAAGTACCCAGTTCCGATTACGCATTATTTTGTGTGAGGGAAATGAGAGATCATGAGATATATCATGTGACATTAATGGACGAATTACAGTTCTTTAATCGGAAAAGGGGGGGAATTTGGAAAACTGTAGTACTATATTATTTTGCATTAAGCTTCATTGTGTGTTGTGTGATATAGTGTTGATTAATTGTCAGATTGCATGGCACTATGTAAAGTGAATTCTAAATTTTTAATGCGTTTATCTGTGGTTTGCTGAAAGTAGTTTGAGTACGGGTGAAATTTTATTAATTTCTTATTACTGGGTGAATAGACTGCCAGTTGACTACTGGATTTCGGATTTAGAAATTAGCAGTAGTACTGCAGCCGATTGGAACTCTTTCTGTAGAAGTGTGTGTGCCACGTAATGAAGATTCTAAAGATTAGGTAAGTTAGTATTTTTAATCATTTGAGGATATTATTTTTATGCATTGTTCTAAATGTAAGGAGTAAATAAATTAATATGGTATTATTAGAAAATTGTTATTAGCAATGATTAGTTTTTTTTTAAAGTAATTAGGATTGTAATCTAATTTTTTATTAATTTAATGTATGTGCTTATTTATATTTTAAGTAGTGTTTTTTAATTTAATGATCGTGATTTTGTGAGTTATATGTTTGTAGTATTTTGGAATACATTTGACTAGAATACGTTGAGTATTTTCATGCATTTTCGTCAAATTTCTAATTTATGACAAAAAAGCAGTGTACATGGATATAGTGAAGAGTGTGCGCAATGCCATTTTCGTGTAATTCTGGGATTTTTTTTAAGTAAAAATAAGTCGACATGTACATGGTGATATTTTAATTAAATGATAGTTATTTTGGTATATGTTTCAGTTGAAGTAAACGTGTATGGAAATAATTTAAATATTTGACACTAAGTATTTGTAACCATTTGTAACGTTTGCGGTATGAATTCGTTGGTGATGTTTATAATATAATAGATAATTTAGAGGTAAAAGTTTTTGGATATTTTATTTATTTTATACGTGGAAATATTGATCCTTGGAAAGGGTATGTACTTTTTCGTGATCAGGTAATTTCATATATGTGCTTTTTAGCGAGTTTAAAGATTCATAGATTTTTTTTTTTGAATTTTCGTGCAAATTTTTGTAATTTATGAGAAAATAGCAGTGTAGATGGATAAAGTTAAGAGTGTGTGCAATGCCATTTTTTGTGCAATTCTGGATGATGTTTTTTTAAGTAAAAATAAGTCGACGTGTAAATGGTTTATGTGTATGTGCTATTCTGAAAAAACGCGGCAAGGAGTTTGCGATTCTGCACTTTTTTTCCCCAATTTGCAGTTAATATTTGTCATGATTAAGCAGTTTTGTTACATAAAATTCTAGCATAAGTGTAATTCGGCTAGTAGATTGTTGGAAAAAGTGTTCAGTAAATAAAAAGAAAAGAAACATGTCTTTACTTCGTGAAGACAAAATGGCGGCGAAAAAAATAGAGGGTTGCTTTAGCAGAGTTGGTCGCCAAATTTTCGCTAAAAAATCGCCAAGTTACCATAATCCAAAGATCAACCAAAATTGGGGTTATAAATTTAAGTAATAATTTACGGTACTTGCGTATTATCGCAACCAGGTTGGCGTGATTTGTAAGTTTGAGTAAAAAAGTATGAATAGAAAGAAAATGTTATTTATTACAGATAATTTTTAATACAGTTTTTTATATTATTTTGTTTTAAAATATAAAATAGCAATTAAACCCTTCCGGTTTTGAATTTGAAATAAGTTGCAGAATTTTTTTTCGGCGGGGAAATCTTTTGGGCTATGCTTTTAGCACTGATTGAAAACCATCTTCGCCATTAACAGCTTGAGCTTGGCGCCATATAAATTCGATAAGGTATGAGTCAAAATGATGATGGGCTGTTCCTCTCTGTTTTTTGTTGTGCCATTTGGCTGAGCCCCACATGCGCTCTACATGTTGTGTGTGAACACCCGTGTTGGGACGCACAAAGTTATATTTGAGATTAACAGTTCCATGCAGAAATCCAGCATTTTAGAACTCACTTGTATTGTATCCTTTCCAGCAATCCGAATAAATGATGCTTTCTTCCTTGATATTTTTGCAAATTTTTTCCATGAGGGTAACGGCGCTTCTGTTACGTACAGTAACCAAAAACGTCTCTTTCTTTTCTCGGCAAATTCCGCTGAAAACCCATTGCTGTGGTAGTGTTATTGTTTCTTTTTAGAAATAAACTTTTGTCTAAACACATAGGGTTGCCGTAAGTAGGGTCGCCAAATTTGGCGATTTATGCAAATTTTGGCCTGGTTGCGTTAATATGCAAGTACCTAATTTACTTATTTTCTGATGGTTACCAAGTTGGAAATTTTTTTTTGTCAGTAATCATAGACAAGCATATTTGATAGTTTATCACTTGTATTCTGTTGATATATTTAATTGCTATTAAATTTTACTGTGCATTCAACCACATAAATATTGCAGTGAAAGTGTTATTTCTTTTTCAATATATATATATGTTATTCTGTATATTAATTACATCATTATAATACATATTTATATTGCGGATGCATGTTTTCAAATATTTGCTTATTTAGCAATACTGTACAATTGTCAGCCTCATTGAAAATCTTTAAAACACCTTTTAGTGATCTTTCTTTCAAACAATCACAGCATTTTGCAATGATTAGCAGTTTAACGACTATATAGAGTGTTGTTATTAACAAGAAAATGCTCAATTCTGTATATTAGCACTTTTTGTTCAATAATTATTCATGAAGTTTGAAACATTTTTTTTTTTTTTTTTTTTTTTTTTTTTTTCCCCATACTCAGTTTTCAGATTTCCTTGAATTCAAACTGAAAGAAAAACACAACAATGTAAAATTTAAAATTAGAGGAAAAGCAAATTTAGTTTGGTATAAATTTTGAGTAAAACCTCATCAGTTCTGAGGGC